TCGCAACTTCTGAGCGAAAATTATTACAAATAATATTTTTTTAATTGGTAGCAGAATGTTAAAGCAAAAGTTAAAAAAAAAATTCAAAAACTTAATAAAAGCATTTTTTTCCTGAGTTTCTTTTTTATTACGCAACTTGGTTTTATTATTTGTATTAAAACGATGCAACTAGTCAGTGGCGCCAAGAGGAGGTAAGGGGGAATGGTCGCGAAGGAAGGTTTGTCCCGGGCGGCAGATAACTAAAGGGCACCAAATGAAATGAAATATTTATGTTATAGTTTTTTTATCATTAATTTAAATTAGTATTTATTATTAATTTCACATTAATAATGCTTTACTTCAAGCATTTTTACAATGACACATAAAGATTGTTAGAAATAAATCTTTTTGTCATTTATGAAATTAAAAAATCGGGTTTTAAAGCTAAAATCACTTTCTCTAATTAAAAAATGACATAATTATGATAATTGCATCATTTAAAATAATGAAAATCATCAGCATTTAAATTAATGAAAAAATAACTATTTTAAATGCTGATGGAAATCAATACTAATATGTTATACATGCATTACGCAAAATAGGCAAATAATTTAACAGTTTTCAATGGTTTAAAAAAATAAGTCTTAAGGCAGAAATGAAAAGAAAAAAAAATTAGTTGTTTAATTGCGTACTTATTTTATATGTGCCTATTAAGGTTGCGCATAACTTTATTATGTTAGGGTGTATTAGTGTGTCAGGACAATAATTTAAATAAATGGTACTAGGTATGCTCATTTTAGATAATGTTAGTTGCTGATAATCGAGACCTTTTCTAAATTTGCTCAAAGTAAATTGGTCTACCCGGGAAGTTATTGTGCAAAATTAAAATATCTTTTTACATACATTTTCTCTAAATAAAGCATATTTCAAGACTATCTAGGTGTAGGCGTTGTACACCTTTAACTATTGCTTAATGTTATGCTGCCTTATTGTGATTACAGCATAATTTAATAATATAATAAAAAGTGTAACAAAAAAATTGTTAAACGCTTTTCTAATGTAAGTTACTCATAATTACTTGTAAGTTACTCACAAACAACTGTTCTTTGAAAAATGACGTGTTTTTACTTTTTCTCACTCTAGCTATATAATATATATAGCTATAAAAAAACATATATATAATATAATAGCTATAAAAAAGGGAAACGTTTCCTTACTTGCTGAATACAATTCATAACTTTAAATTCTTAACTTTTCTATGTTACAAGCACAACTTCTCATAATTTTTATAATGTAAAGTTGTGTCTGTGACTATTTTGCCGATCTTTAATGTTTAAAAATTGTTACACATTAGAGATCGGCAAGATTTAATGAAAAATTTAATTTGGTTTGGTTTAAGAGAGAGAAAAAATCAAATTTAAAAGGTTGCTCTTATAATTTAACAAGGCACAAGTATAAAGAAAATTTTGTAAAAAAGTATTTTCGAATTCTAATTGCATTTAATAAATGATACATTTAATTAAGGTGAAATGTGTTATTTTAATGTTATATTTGTCAAGGAAACCCTAAGAAGACCAAAGCCCTTATCAAAGTTACTTCAGAGAGCAAAGTGACGTCGGGAATAGCATATGAAGATTATTTTCTATTTATTCCCCTCACCGGTAATGCTTACATACCATATAGCAGGATCAAACTAGTAACCTTTTGTGTTTATATGTTTCATATTCTGTAAAGACTGAAATATGGCTGATAAAAACCCTAAATATGAACCTTGAAAAGCTATTAAATAATTACTTTATGAATTACTAAAACGGTTTAGTTGAAAGAAAAAAAACTTACTGAAATGGTTTACTTCAATTTATTATCTTTTTTGACCACGAATCCTTTGGAGATTTTTGAACACGAATCTTTTTTTTGAACACGAATCCTTTTATACAACACTTTATAAACATTCTTAGGTACTTTTATTACCAAAAAAAAAAAAAAAAATTATATTTTCACTTGTGAGTATTAATTATTATTTTAAAAAGGCGGTAAAAAGCGGTGTTCCCGCAGGGATCAATTATTAAAAACCTTTTTGTTTCTAATTTCTTTTAATGATTTACATGAGTTTTAAAATACTTTAAACACCTTTATTTATAGATGACACTAACTATTTTTGTTCTAATGAAGATAATAATATTTTATTTTTTACAGTAAACAAAGTTCTTGATAAACTAACCGAATGGCTCACGTCCAATCGTTTTTGTTTCTAATTTATGTTAATAATTTACTAAAGTTTTAAAATCTTTAAAACTCAATTTTATTTACAGATAACACTAAATTTTTTATTCTCATAAAGAAAATAACATTTTATTTTACTAGTAAACACAGTTCTTAATTGATTAATCCCAAGGCTCAATCCAATAAAATATCCCTAATAATTTGTAAACTAAATACACATTTTTCTATCGTCCAAATAAAAAAAAGAATTGATTCCGTTGAAACTTCCTAATCTTTTTTGTTGACAATAAAACGTAAATTGCGTAGAAAAATGTAAATTTTTCTACGCAATATTTTTATATAAGTGTAATTTATAACAAAATTAAAAAAATTATTGATACATTGTACACAGTTAAATCTATACTAATCTCGTTTAAAGTAACTATACTTTTCTTTTATACATTTATTTATTTATAAATTAATATCTCCTTTAACTTAAAAATGGATCTTAGATTTAATTCTTGGATTTTAAATCAAAGAAACGTGATTGCCTAAGTTGCCCCCTACGAACCCTAGCTTAACTATGGCACCAAGTGTGTTGTGTGATTGTGTTTTATAACCATTTTTTATTCCTTTTAATTTAATAACAAGAGGCCGAAAAAAAAAAAAGAGAGAAATTCTTCTTTAAATGCAATTTTTCACACACACACACACACACACACACACACACACACACACACACACACACACACACACACACACACTCACACTAAATTTTAAATCAATGTAAATTGGTCTACCAATTTACATTGATTCAAAATTTTAAGTAATAGACTTTTGAAAGTCTATTACTTAAAATCTAATTTGAAAATAATTATCAAAGTTTTCAGAGAGACATATTTATTTGCTAATATATCATAGCATCTTTTCACATAAGCAATGTTTATATTGCCCATAAAAGGCAACAAACTAGTATAACAAGTTTTTCTAAAAATAAAAAACGTGTTTAAAAAAGAAACTATTAATAAATAGATTAAAAAGAAGTGATAAAAATATATCTTTGCTCATTTTTCTTTTTTAGAAATATTTATTCGTCATTTATAAAAAATTTACAACGTTTTTATTTACAATTTTCATCAACAAAAGTTAAACAAAAATTAATAACGACAGGAGCAAGAAGAAGACAGAAGTCTTGTCATCAAGCCCCTATAGTAAGCGTAAAGTATTTTTTACAAGTTTTTCTTTATACAAATACTTGTTATATAAAACAAGTCATACATAAATACAACAAAAATACGATAAACTGCAAAACTTGCAGCTTAGTAAATAAATACAGTAAGAATAAGTACTACCACGCCATAACTTGAGATTATGAATTAAATCGCCCTGACTTGATCAATAAGAGGCTTTTAGAATCTTGTTGAATTCTCACTGTGGCAAATTATGACAAGTAGAGGCCCTAAGTAGTAGAATTAAGGGGGTCCCCAAAAATAATTAGACCAAAAATAAGGTTATTTGAATCAATTTACTAATTAATTTAATAAATTAATTTAATTAACTAAAAAACAATTTTCTCTTCGTTTCTACTACAAGTAAATTAAAATGAGGTGTAAAAAATGTAAAACACAGTTATTTAAATTTTGTACAAAACAATATATATTGTTAGCATATAGGGTAAATGGGTCGGATCTAGAGTACGTCTAGTACGTCTGTACGGATCTAGAGTACGTCTAGTACGTCTGTAGACGTAACCAAAAACATAAAAAGTAATTGAATTTTGAAAAAATAAAATATAATATTTTATTACTAAATGCTAATTTAATACTTTGTAATATTTTATATTAACTATAAAAATACTTTTTTACTTAACTGTCAAATAAATGAGATTTAAGTGTTATTATCGAATTTAAGTTTTATTTCACTATCATTATCTTTTTTCGGATATTTCCGGATATATCTTTTGATTTTTAGTTTTCCTGGATATCCAAAACATTTTCAGAACATGCAAGTTGGTGTATATATTTTTGTTTTTAATTTTTTTCACTCATCGCTCATAGAAAAATTGTGAAAATGTCATAAAAAATTAGAAACAACTTAGCTAAAAGCCAAATTAAAAAGAAGTTTCCCGGAGAATTTATTAGAACAATTCTCCGGATTTTTCAAATTATGATTTCGATGATCTATAAAACACTAATAAAATAAGAGTTGCTTCTCGTTTACTTTGCGGTTTTTGAAGTTAATAATATAAATACATATTTCTAAATTAAAGGTTCTCGGTGGGAAATATATATTTATATTATTATATATATATATATATATATATATATATATATATATATATATATATATATATATATATATATACATATATATATATATATATATATATATATATATATATATATATATATATATATATATATATATATATATATATATATATTTATATATATATATATATCACGGGTACCCTGAAGGTGACCTAAGACCTTATATCATATCCCATGAATTTTTTTTTTTGATTTTGAAAGTAGTCCATGAGCACATTCCAAAACTACTAAAAAGTAAATCATTTTTTGGTAGCTTTTTGAGAAATCTAAGCTTTAAGACATGTTTTAACTAGAGACTAATGCCCCTCTGACTCGCCCTAAGACCCCTGCAAGTGGATTAAATAGCTGTATATAATTTGTTTGGTTGTTTAATCTAGTGGATTGACAATTTGAGGATCGTATTTTGATATAAATTCTGATAATAATTTGGGCATTCTAGTCAGAACATTGACTAATTTATCACTTCTTAAAAGTTAGCTTTCTTTTTTATTGAAGAGGATAATGTAGGTCTACAGGAATACAATGCCCATATAGAATCATCTTTGGATTTGTAATGAAAGAATTCTAAATAAAATAGTTTTATTTAAAAAAAAAAAAGGAAATATTTACTAACAAAAAACACTACATTTAACTATAAATGCATTGTGTTGTACACACAGGCAGCTCTTCGCAAGACTTCTTTAAAATTGGCGTTGTGTTGTCCTACCTTTCGTATTTCCCAAAATTGTTTGAAGTCTTGATGGACTGATTCCAATGCTTGCTCAGTCCAAAACCCAAAACCTTAATTCAAAATATTTAATATTATTATTTTTATATGTTAAAATTTAAAAAGTTATCAGTTAATTTTCGAAATATGCACTTACCAAACTTTCCTCCTTTCATAACAATAAACTCTTCAACATGATGCTCTACTATATGAACTTTAAGAGGAATGTTTGAACCAAGATCTCTGAAACTTTGTGAAAATCTTTTAATATAATCAGAGTAGTTTGGATTTAATATTTTCCCAAAACACCCGTGAACAACATCGCTAAAGTCTCTCAAAGCTTTCATATATTTGCCACCAATAATATTGTGCTCATCCAGATATATTTGAAAGCAATCAAGTTTTTTTAAAAACTTGTTGGATGCATTTCCTTCTAACCTGTGTTTACCTTGATAAGGTACTCTGGCAAGATTAATTGTAGATAGATAACTATTTACAAAATTAAATCCTTGATTAGTGTCCTCAAACAAGTTTTTTTCAATTATTTTGAGTAACTTGTCTACTATGCCTAGCAAAATATGTAAGCCTGGTTTATTAACAATTTCTAAGATCTTCTTTGTTACATTTCCAGTCAATAAAGGAGGATTAACTACGTTACTAAAATTTTTAGCTTTTGCAATGTTTTCTCCTGCAGCTATCCATTTGTTACACCACTCACACAGAGAAGTTAGAGAATATGACTTAGCTCTCAGCATATTTGGCGATTCTGTTTCACAAAATGGGCAAGGATGCTTCGAAGCTGCTGACTGCTTTCCAACCATCAGAAGAAGAACCTTTAGATCTTCTGAAATAGAGTAATCCAGAGAATTAAGTTTTAATTTATCCAACAACATTTTTATGTTTGCATAATTTTCATCAATAGAGGGTAATACCGCCAAAACTAAAGTTTTGTGAACACTAGTATACTTGAATTCTTTAAATCCATACTCATCAGAATATTTCACTCTTTTCTTTTCAATTGAATGTACTTCAAGCTCTGGCTTTAATGTGATTGATAAAGTAACCTTAAGATAGCCTTGCCCTCCATCTACCCCAATCTTAACATCAACATTCTCTGGTTCAAGAGATCTACGTCGCAAAACTGTTGCAACAAACTCATCAACATTATTGCAAATTACACCAGGAATAGTTCTTTCAATACACTAAATAATTACAAAACAAATTTAAGTCCAAGGATGATGATTTATTTTAAATTATCAACTTTCAAATTAATCAAATACAAAAATTAAAATGTTGCATAAAATAAAAATTAAAATGTTGCATAGAATAATATTTTATTATAATATATTATTTTTATAGAGCTTTTTAAGAAACTGAAAATCTTTAGTTAAAGTAAAACACTATATATATATAAATATATATATAAACACTATATAATATATATATATATATATATATATATATATATATATATATATATATATATATATATATATATATAAATATATATATATATATATATATATATATATATATATATATATATTATATATATATATATATATATATATTTAGTTATACCACTTTTTTATTATCTCCAGTATTCTGTTTTGACTGGATCAGCATAAGCTCAGCATCAAACAAAAACAATAGATTTTTGTTTTCTTCGGTTAACTTTTCAGAATAACAAGGCTCAACAGATTTTCTTCCTCCATTCACTCGTATAAATCGGGCAATTTCTAACATCTTATTGTCACTAGTAAATTTGATACAATGATAAAAACAGTAAATGATTTTTTAAAATAAATTATATTTCTTGAATTTAGTAGTAGACAATCTATACCTTGTATGAAGTTTGCTCTGTTGTTTCAGTTTTGAATGTGAAAAGTACGGTGTTTTCGGTTCAACTACTCCAACAGAAACAAAAAGCTTCTTAGGGCCAAAGGTGTTCAATGTTATTTTTGCATCATGGGTTACTAAATTGTTGATTGTGGTGGATAAAACCTTTTCTTTAGTAACAGGTGAGGTTGATTGTACAATATGCATCAAATTCCTTTGCTTAGCTAACTTTGTGAAGGATGTTTAATACCTTTTCCTATTTGTTGAAAACAACTTCTGCAAAGAACAAGATTTTCATTGGTAGTCGAAAGATTCAAATTACTGTGACTTTGATCAATATCTGCATTAGTTTCACAAGATACCATTGGTGGAAGAGTTGCTGTTTCAGTACCATTTTTACGCCCATTAACACAAATAAAACACTCACATTTCCCACCTCGAATAACTCTAGTATTAAGACCTAAAAGTAATAAAAAGTTATTTTTTTAGTGCAAACAAAATATTGTTTATCAGAAAAACAATAATAATGCAAAACATAATTGGTTTTTATTGGCTTATTTTCTTATAAAACTTACCTTCGTACTTAGTTCGAGCCTCGAATAAAAATCTTTTTGAATCTGTTTTTTCTAAACTCACAAGATTTTTTCTGCAATTAGAACATAACATTTTAGGCAGATCCGGGTTTTCAACAGAGTAGTTTTCCCAAAAAAATCTCTTGATAAGATTTTCATAATTTTTTGCTTGTTTTGGACCTGGTTTATTGCATTTGGTTTGAATGCATCTTAAATCATTACTTTTTTTCATACAGCATATGCAAAAGCATTTTAAAAACTCGTTATGATCTTTAGCAAAGTATGGCATTTCTTTTCTATTATTGAGAAATAGTTCCTATATTTTTTAATCGGCTTTTAAATTCAAGTCAATATAAGTATTTTACTTAATTAATTAAATAAAATCGCTGTTATTGCTAAAATGTGTTTATTAATATTGTTAAAGTCTTTTAAAGCAACAACAACTATAAGCCAATCGGAAACTAATAAATATTATTAAAGCCAATCACGCTGCTGCAATTGCAGAAAGTAAACAACTATAATGGCTGACGGGAAAGTATTATTTTAATACGAAAACATCGTTATTTATAAAACTTCTTACTAAGTTTTCTAAAAAAGCTACCAACAAATGATTTAAATTTTGATAGTTTCAGAATGTACAAATGTACTACTTTCAAAAACAAAAAAAAAATTTCATGGGACTTGATATAAGGTCTTAGGTCACCTTCAGGGTACCCGTGATATATATATACATATATATATACATATACATATATATATATATATTTATATATATATATATATATATATATATATATATATATATATATATATATATATATAAATATATATTTCTATATTCATATATATATATATATATTCATATATATATATATATATATATATATATATATATATATACATCATTTATATATATATATATATATATATATATATATATATATATATATATATATATATATATATATATATATATATATATACATCATTTATAATTAATTAATTAAGTCATTTATTTCGCGAGGAGTAAAACACTGCATTCTTATTTTATGTTTGAGACCTCTAATGGAAGAACATGGGCCATCTAATTTAATGCTTGACTTATAGACTGGTTTGACATTGAGATTGACAAATTCTAGATTGTTTAATACCTTATATAAATGAATAAGGTCTCCTCGTTTTCTTCTGAGATTTAAATTAATTAAATCCATTTTAACTAGCCGTTTCTCATAACTTAGCATTCTGTTTGAGTATGGTATTTTGTGGCCCTACGTTGAACTCTTTCAAGCATTGAGATTTCGGCCACATTTGGAGGACTCCACTTTGGAGCCGCAAATCCAAGATGAGGTCGCACATAAGTAGTATACAATATTTTCCACATATAACAATCTCTACTTTCAAAGGCATTTTTCAATAACCCCAGTATTTTTGAAGCTTTGTTAACACATACTTGCGTTTGATGCTTCCACCTCATATCTGGTTGTACAAAGACACCAAATTCTTTTTCTAATACACTGTATGAGAGGTCATAAATCATTCCATTTATATTCATTGTGTATGTTTTATCAATACCTCGAAAAACTTTTTGTTTGCCGAATCTCATCACCTTACATTTTTTGCAGTTTAGTTCCATACCCCAATTGCTGCACCATTTCACTGATATGAAATATATATATATATATATATATATATATATATATATATATATATATATATATATATATATATATATATATATATATATATATATAAATATATATATATTTCATATCAGTGAAATGGTGCAACAATTGGGGTATGGAACTAAACTGAAAAAAATGTATGGTTATGAGACTTTTATTTTTTTTTATATAGTTTTTAAAAAAGCTGGTTTTAACTGTAAGCTTACATACCAACCCTAGGTTACATCACCTAAAAATGAAAATCGCAAGCAAAATATTATATGGTATAATCCTCTGTTTAGTCTAAATGTAGAAACAAAAATAGGAAACCGTTTATAAGCATTGGTTGATCTACATTTTCCTGTGAATCACAAACTACGCAAAATATTTGATAGAAATTCGATCAAGGTTAGTTATAGCTGCATGCAAAATATTAAATCCATCATTAGTTCACAAAACCACAAGATTTTACAATGTAAAAGAAATATAACTACAAAAACATGCAACCGTATTACTAAAACCGCTCGTCCATTAAGTAACCAATGTTTAGTTAGTAATATTTTTTAACACTGTGAGTTCTAATGATCCAGATCCAAAGGAAAAAGTATATTTTGGTATCAGTGAGACACCATTCAAGCTCAGATACGCAAATCATTTAAAGTCTTTTAATGCGATCAAATCTAAAAATGATACTGAACTTTCAAAAGTAATTTGGAGTTTCAAAGAAAAAGGTACAACACCTATTATAAAGTGGAAAATTATAAAACGCTGTGAAGCTTACAAACCAGAAACAAAAACCTGCAAACTTTGTCTTCATGAAAAATGAGAAATTTTATCTTTTAATGGAAACAACCTGCTTAATAAAAAAGACGAAATATAATCTAAATGTCGACATTTAAATAAATTCCTGTTATCTTCGTTTGATACTGGAGATTAAATGATTGCGCCTTTTCAATTTACGTCAGAACTCGTTCTACCGTCAATCAGTTTGAAATTTGCTTTAAAATAATAATCAATATAAATAATAATTTATATATATAAAATATATAAAAGTTTTTAGAAAATTGAGCTATATTAATTTGGGTTTTTCAGAAATAATTGTCGATCCTACACCTGAAAAGAAATGGCTTTTACAAAAAGCAGATAAATAAAAATATAAATCAAACCATTTAATGATGTAAGCGCTTGTGATATCAGTTGTCCTGAACTATTTCAACTGGAACTACTTAATTTAAATCAATTAGACGGTTGAACCAAAAGTCTTAAAGATATACCATTTTTCACAATAAAAAATATTCTAAAATACACATTTACATTTTCTTGGAATAGTTAATCAGAATTACCAAAATAACATTGAAACTAAATTTGGTATGATGCCAGAAGGATCTGTACTTGCCATTCATGTACAAATAATACAACCAAACTTTGAAGTATATTCAAACCTAAGAGAGATAACAAATATGTCTATATTTAATAGTTATAAATATCCAAGTTACTCATTCAACAACAATGATTGTAATCTTGAAGAGTATATACAAAAGCCACAGATTTAAAGGCATTAAAACTAATTGAATTAATAAAAATAAGTAGTGATGACATTAATCAAATTGATCAAGAGATCAAGCTCTTTGTTCACTTTGGTTTGAAAAAAGAAATAACCACTTTACAGTATCATTGAGCAATAAAATAAAAAATGTAAAAAGTGAAAAGGGGCTTAAAACATTAGCATACAATATTGTATTTCAAAAAGATTAAAATATTAAAAACAATATTTGCCAAAAGAAAACGAATCATGGTAAGTTTTACGAACCAATAGCAATTTCCAATTATGAAAAATATCTCTTGTCTGAAAATCATATTGTGACTTTTGAACCATGCGGACTAGTAATTGACAAAAATTATTTTATTCTTGGAGTAACTCCAGATGGAAAAGTTCAAGTTGATGGGCTTTTCGGAATCATAGAAGTAAAATGTAGTGAAGAATATAAAAATGTTAACCACAAAAACATTTGTGAAAAATGTGACATGTCTAAAAATGCATGTATTAAATACAATAAATTAACTGAATTGATCACAATAAATGAAGACCATAGTTTTTATGACCAAATAGAAATGCAGCTAGCTTTAACAACTCAAAATTGATGTGACTTTATATTTTATACCAACAAAGGAATGGTTATTGATCGTGTGCAATTCAATAAAGAAAAATGGGACAAGGTAGAAAAAAAATTTCTTGATTGCTATTTCATTCACCTTCTGAAAGACCTTGTAGACCATTCAAAAGATAACATAGAAAAGTGCTCTATTTTTGGAAGAAAATTACATAATAATTGAGTAAAACAATGGTTCAAAATAAGTGTTATTTTTAATTTATTATTAACATTTGAAAATAAACTTTTTAACAATTTAAAAACTATTTAAAAGTAACTATTTAACTATTAACCCATACCACCACCACCACCACTACTCCCCTGATCCTCCTTGTATACAGCTGTATACTTTCAACAATCTCTTCTGTTTTACACCAAGTCTGTTTTTTAATAAATCAGGCCTCTATTAATGAATTCTATTTCCACTTTAAACAATATTTTTTACTTCAAAAATTAAATTTTCGTGCTACTTTTTTCCAGCATTATCAAAATACTTCAAAATATGAATAGTCAGATTGTCAGATCATAAGGCATGTTTGCAATTCAATGTCAGTTAATTTGCATATATAATATTTATTAAAGATTTTGTATGTATAAGTTTTAAATGTGTT